CCAATTTTGAATTGAAATGGGATCATGATTCCAAAACTCGTAAGCCATATGATATTCCTCAACAAGTAAATACCCTATACATACCTATTATTAAAATCTAGAATGATTTTCTGTAGCGCCCATGGATGTGACGTGACAGCAATGTCAGGGATGCCAGTAGACAAAACTAAAGTCTCTAGATCATTGAAAAAGAATGCAGCTATGATCTGTCCGTACCTTGTTAAGATGACTTTAACGTCAATTTCCATCAAGGGACCCTAGTTAAGATGACTTTAACGTCAATTTTTATCAAGGGACCCTAGTAGTGAGAAAGTAGTTTGTCAGTATTCAAGAATGAGTGCCTCCCGACAGTTGTCGCACAGTCCATCCATCATTCTGGCTGTCAACGAACATCTGTGCACACGACTCGCGATGTCTGCGAGATTGAATTCTTTCGTCATACGTTAGTTATCAAGTGAGTATGTGGTATAGTGAGCTGACCGTGCGTCCGTCCACACTTGAGGTCTGGGGTTCAATCCTCGTTATCAGTGGCGGCTCGTGACTTCCATGACAGAGGAGGCTGAATGATATGAGATTTATTGTGAAAAAGAACTCTCTACGACTCACCCAAATCAATAGCTTTAATGACATTCTGTTTACCATTTAACCTGAACTTAATACTTGAAGAGATGTGTTCCTGTGATTTGCAGTGTATATCCAATCCGCGAGGCAAATTTTTCAAATCATTATATCCTAATCGCCCCCAACATGACGGGTTGAAAATAATACGCAGTACGAACAAAATAGCTTATTCCTTACCTCAAATCCCGTCAACCAGATATAATTTTTATAATTATCAGAATTGAACGAACGATTTTGTTTGTTACCTGTTACAATCAGATTTTTTAATTCCGATGTCGGACGTTTGTTTTCCACAATCAATTTATCTTCATGAGACAAAGCACTGAATGGGTTCACCAAAAAGTATTCCACTAAATCGCAATCCTTTAAAACACTCATTTTTCAGAAATTTATAGAGCTCCTAACCATTAACCTCACATAAACATAAACAATGCACTCGCGATTGTCCGCAATTCGCGACGAGACACGACCACGACAAACACGTGTTATTCGGGCGTATTCGGGCATTTGCATTGCGCGCGTGAGTTGCGCATCGTGAAGGAGTCTAGCCTCCTAAAGATGTTGCCAAGTTGAATATTTCACGCGTGATTTTCAGATTTCAACGTGTGATGCGTGGGCAAGCACTGTTGCCAATTCAAAAATATTTTTGTCTAAAGACAGGTAATAAAATCAAAATCCATGTATTTTGGTGTTCTTTTAATGAGAAAGTATAGATAATATCAGTTTAAGGAGAATCTCTGAGGAGGCTCAGCCTCCGTTGCCTCCTCTGAGGAGCCGCCACTGCTCGTTATGGTTAACTTTCTTTGGTTTTATTCACTGAAATAATTTTCCGAAGAAATTTTCCAGGAAGAAGGTTAATTTGGGCCAAGTATGGCTGGATTGTATTGAAGTAGAATCCTTCCTCATCTCTAGTGATTTTCCGAAGTATATAAGAGGAAAGTTCTTTCAGACTGAATTAGGTTAGATCAATCGATTGATCAGAAAAAGTACCTAGTCTCTTTCGTTCTCTTCAGTAATTTTTCAAAAAGTGTATTCCCTATTTAAGACCGCTAGTGGTCATCTCAGCAACCCGGTAACGCTTGCTTGACAACGCTTCTGCTTAATGCACTGGAACCTTCAAACTGCCGTTTATGACAGTGACTAATAGAGAGATGAAGTAATAACTGTATGTAGAGCTCCACGTAGACGTCAACTTACGAAAATTAACGTTTATGTATTCTCTTTAAATTGAGTTGAAGTCGTTATTTTGGTCGTCACTATCATCGTAACGTAATAATACATTTCGTTTTCGGTTTGTATTGGTCATTTGGTTGTGTGTTCAGATCCGAACATTTATTTCTATCAAAATGAGAGGACTCCTTGATGCAGAGCTTCTTGGAGATTCCGAATTTGATGATTATGACTCATCGGCATATTCCGAGTATAGTTTGGTTAACGTACGTTGGTATTTTGGGTAAACGGGAAAGTACGTGAGATAACGTACACTCGTAAGCGCACATCTAACGCAAACATGGTCTCCATGGTTATTTAGACGACGTTGCGCTGACATTAAAAACTACGGAAAACATCTTATATAGATTGAAAGTTAGACAAGCCTCCTCGTAGTTTTAAATGTCATTCCAATGTCATCTTATGACCTTGGCGACGGCGATTAGTGTAAAAATAATGAAAGATCCTTAATGAGCAGGAATCATGTTCACCACAGAGTACGATGTTGGTTCTTTATCCCTTTTGGCATTAGCAGTGTCGATAGTAGTTTAGGTCAGTGAGCCACCATTAGTCAGTAAAAACGAAGAAAATATACATTCGTTTTCTTTGGTGGAAAGAAGGTTCAATCAGGCCGAGTTAGATATTGCTTGGAAAAAGTAGTTTCTTTTCTTATGCAGATAAAATATTTACCTTTTTTATACATGGTGATATAGTCAAAGAATTAGAATCGACAAGTGCACTTCAGGAAAGTATTTTAAAATATCCATGTATGCCCTGCTGAATCACTAACCAAATTACATTCACGATGATAACAGCAAACATTTTTAATTCAAAATATAATATTGCGGTGCGGCATCGAACACTGAAAACCGAAATATCTCAGAAATTGGCTATACGTTAACAAGAGTACCGTTTCCAATACAAAAAACACCAAGTTGACCACAAAATTATATAACACAAAGTGTGGCACATGATATTGTACCTGTACCTACCTTATTTAGAAACCGACGAATCGTACAGACGTATTGAAAAAAGAACAAGTCTATTACGGAGAGAAATTCCTCTTTTGAATGCACACAGTTTGTAGTTTGCGGACTTGGAAAGTGCTCGAAAAACTCATCCTCCTTTATACGGATTTGCAAGCGCATATACGTTGGTGGCTGAGTGCTCCCATCAATGGTGCATTACATTTTTTTGCCGCTGTAGCACTTTCAAGTCAATAATTTGATCGCCGGTAATGGGTATTACGGCCGGCTGGCGGCCGCCGGGACGCATTTAAACATTCCGGTATAGGATTCGGCACCTGCTTAAATACTATTGGCTGATTTTGATTTGTCTGACCAATTGAAGGCGAAGTGCCGAAATCTGTACCAGAATGTTGAGCGGTGCTGAAAAGCAGGTCGGAATGTTGCCTTGCATTTTGCACTGTTTTTGTTTACATTTACCCTCGCATTTACCTAACCTGCGTATTTTTTTATTATACCGTCGTTCCCACATGCTAACAACAAACCTGCAATCTTGTTATTATAGTTAAGTGCAATAATCAATTAGTGAAGTATACCATAAATCACTAATTATGAAAAGATTAATAAAAGTTTCAGAAAATTTGTATAGGGGCAATATGAAGAATGAAACAGGAGTTGTGCAATGGATGAATGATTATGAAGATCAGTCGTTTACATCATGGCGTTTCAAATCAGGCCCTACAAATATTAAAAGATTCTTGTACAGGTAACAATTTTATGTTCTTCAAATATTTTCTTATTTGCTCATGAAATGTATTCGAAGAAGACGAAGACGCAGTTTGGCAGGTAACGTGGCAAGAAATCAACCAAACGCTAAGTCCCATGGAATGGGACATGAACTTAGGTGTTCTAATGATTGTTATTTCGAATTTATTATCTCATTTTATTACATATAATCATTCATTTAAAACTTTTATACCAAATAATCATCATGAATATAAATGAGAATTTCTAAAGTTATTGAAAAATGCATTCATTACACATTATCTCGAGCTTTCATTTCATCAACATTCCGACCTGTGTTTCAGCACCGCTCAACATTCTGGTACGAATTTTGGCACTCCGCCTTCAATTGGTCAGATGAATCAAAATCGGCCAATAGAATTTAAGCAGGTGCCGAATCCTATACCGGAATGTTTAAATGCCGCCGGGACAGCATTACATTCCGATAGTCGGCCGTCAGTTCTTGAGGAGATCGATGGAGAAAGACAGTCAATATAATGAGACAAAAGTCATCATAATGAGAAAAGTCATTATAACGACTATTCGAAAAAGAAAAGTTTGCGTAACAACAGAGTGCTTTCGTAGGTGGGCACTTCGAAAGGGCAAATTGATTACTGCATGGGAGGTACCCTTGAGGTCCTTTATCTTGACGACGAATGACATGAGGTTTGCTCGTGTTCGAGAAATGAGCCGTCCGAAACCATCAGGAGCATGCGCAGTTCCACGAAACTTGAAAAATTCGTAGAGTTCTGTGAAACTGCGCTTGCTCAAGATGATTTCGGACTGTTTATGACGTTTCACTCTTCTGCGCATCCAAAATTGAAACGCCACTAGTCGATTTGTAGAGGATACAAACCTTCAGTGGAAATAGATAACTGCGATTCCTATCTAAAGAGTGTTTCTGCACTCAATTAGAGTGGGTAGATTAAATAGAGTGACGACAATAGAAATACCTCCAAATCCAAATGGCTGCCGTTTCCGGAATGTCATTCGGGGTCAAGTCACTGAATGGCTGAAAATCTGAAGGGTATCTCTCAAGCAGTAATGTATTTACGTCTTCAAAGTGCTCACCTAATGTTCGGTTCAGATATTCGATATTCTCATTCCATCTTCTAAATAATCTGAGACTCCCTACACTAGTCTCAAGAGATGGATTTTGATAGTTAATGTCCAAGGTACTGACGTATAGAGTTTCATGTCTGATTCTTTGGTCTATTGTGCCCGAAGAGCAAAGGACAGAGGCAAACCATTGACGAAGTGAGATAGAATGCGTAGGGCTCAATATTTGAGTGATATATTACGCTAACGCGCGTGATATATCAATCAGTGGCTGAATGCAGGAAACAAAACAGGTGGAGCCCTTCCATGATATAAGAGGTAGGTATCTTAGGTCTGACCAATCAAAAAGTGTACCACTATTGTCGTCATTATATTTATGAAGTCACTCTACACTCAATGTATATATTTCCTTCTTACTAGCATGTGTTGAACAGTGTTGAATATTCACTCAGTGTAGAAACACTCCACCAGTTCCTGCCAATGGGATTCGCTATTAGAGGATTAAACTGTGGTATGTGGTATTTCACATCCCAAAATCCCCAGATACCAATTCCTGATACCTTCAAAAATGTTCATAAAGTGAAAAATTCGACTTTTATTTTTTTACATTGTTGAATGAAATGAGGCTTTATCTCTCAGATGTGAATTATATTATTATATGACCCTGTATGTTATGGTTGAGTATCTATGGAAGTTTAGTTGTTATAAAAATATTATCTTGAAAAGTTCTTCTGAATTTTCTTCTCTGGATTACTTAATATCACAAAAGGTTATGGGCCCAGTGCAGGCATAAAGTGTTGGAAGTATCCAGAAGAAGGTCATCGTGAAGAAGAAAGATCCAAGAAATAATTGGAGTGTATTTTCAACAAAATACTGTTCCTGGTGACATCAATTGACATAGTCTGTCCACTTGACAATTCATTTTTCATATTCTGACAAATTTAACCTGGGTGTTCATCACAAGTATTGGTAATCACCTACATAGCAAGTTTCACAAGTGTTACACAGGGTAGAGTGAAAGAATATAAGATGGACAAAGTCAGATCACTTTCCATACAGAAATTTGATGGCAGCAATTTCCAACTGTGGAAGTACCAAATGGAAATAATTTTCAAAGCTGAAAAAGTTCATGGTTTGGTAAGCGGAAAGTTGTTGAAACCAGCCGATAATGCAAGTGAACAACAGATTCAAGACTGGGATAGTCAAAATGCTAAAGCAATGCTGATAATATCTTCATCCATGGAATTTGATCAGCTTCAAACGGTCATGTCATGTGAAACTGCATCTGATATGTGGAAACGAATGAAAATAATACATGAACAACGTTCTGCAGTGAATAAGGTCATTCTCAAACAAGAATTCTTCAATTATAGAATGAGTGAATCAGACAGTATTGCTAAACATATAAGCAAAGTTGAAGCAATGGCACAAGCGTTGACCGATGTGGATGAAAAAGTGAGTGAGATTGATAAAATTGCCAAGGTCTTGGGCAGTCTACCAGCGAAATATGGCTCATTCATAACTGCTTGGGACTCATATGATGAAACGAAACAGACGTTCGAGAATCTTGCCACTCGTTTACTGAAGGAGGAAACTCAGCTCACTCATACAGAGGAAGCAGCAACTGCATTCGCGGCAATAAATTTGAAAGGTAAAAATCTAATTTCGAAAAGCCAAAGCAACTCAGAAGATTCAAACAATAAAACTAAAAGAAATCTAACATGCTATTATTGTCAAAAGAGAGGGCATTTGAAAATAGAATGCAGAAAAAGGAAAGCAGCAGTAGAAAGATATAATTCAAGACATCAAACACAGGAGAACAGAAATCAAGCTCTTAGTGCAGAAATGAAGAATGTATCTACTGATGGTTATTCAGATGTGTGGCTAGCTGATAGCGCCGCATCTTCGCATATGACTTTCCATGAAGAATGGTTCTCAAATATGAATGTACTGGATCATGAAATTCCTATTCAGATCGGTGACAATTCATTCGTATATGCTAAAGCTGTTGGATCCATTGAAATCATAGCACTGGTTGATGGTCGTTCAGTGCCAAAAACCCTCGAGGATACCCTGTATGTACCGCAGTTGAAGAAAAATCTCTTCTCAATTGGGGCAGCTACAAAGAGAAACTACAAGGTGATCTTCAATCATAGTACTATACAGGTACTCGATGGAAATGAACTGCTTGCAAAAGGCATAAAACAAAGCAATCAATGTTATGTGATGGAGTTCAAAATTGTTGAAAAACAGGAAGCAAATTCAGCGATCACAAACCCAGTCATGCTTTGGCACGAGCGTATGGGTCATGTGAATTTTCAAACTCTAAAAGAGATGGCGGATACTGGTAACATCCCTGGACTGAAAATTCGAAATGTTGATGGATATTTTTGCGAGGCATGTCAATACGGTAAACAGCATCGAAAAACCTTTAGAGAGATAGTGAGACAAAACTTACACAAAGTTGGAGAATACATTCATGCTGATGTATGTGGAAGAATGCCAACGACATCTCTAGGTGGTGCTGATTATTTTGTGTTATTCAAAGACGATTGTTCCTCTTATCGTTCTGTTTATTTCATTAAACACAAAAGTGACGTTTTCGCAAAATTCATGGAATTTGAAAAATTTTTGGAAAACCAAACCGGAAATTCCATCAAGATATTCAAGAGTGACAATGGATTAGAATTCAAGAATCACCATTTCCTCGATCATTTCAAGAAAAACGGTATCATCCATGAAACCAGTTCACCATATACGCCAGAGCAGAATGGTAAGGCAGAACGCGACATCCGGTCTATCACTGAAAGTGCAAGAGCCATGCTGACAAATAGTAAACTTCCCAATAATTTATGGGCAGAAGCAGTCAATACTGCTGTATATACTTTGAATAGAAGGCCGTGCAAAGCTAACCAAGGGATAACACCATATGAAAAAATGGACAGGTAAACAGTCTATATTGAATCATATGAGAATTTTTGGAGCAGAAGCTTATTCATTCATTCCCAAACAATTCAGATCCAAATTTTCTCACAAGTCCACAAAACAAGTGCTGGTTGGTTATGATGGAAACAGCACAAATTACAGAGTGTATAACCCAATCACAAGAAGAGTCACAGTTTCTGCTAATGTGATCTTTAATGAAAATTTTGCACGAGATTCTAATACTGGAAATAACCACATTTTATTCGAACCTAACAATCAAGATGAAATAAGAGAGGAAATAGAAAATCAGGAAGAAGAGAAAAATAGTTCTACACAGGAAGTTTTTGACCTAGAAGAAGAAGTCAAGATTCAAGGAAATGAACAGGAATCACCAACAGTGGGAGCAAGCCGAAGTCTTCGAGATCGTAAGAATATTCATAGACCTAGAAGATATTTGGACGATCAAGCAATTGCATGTTCAGCAATAGTTGATGAACCCACAACTTATGATGAGGCTATTTCATGTGACCAGAAGGAATATTGGAAAGCCGCAATAAAGGAAGAAATCGATTCCTTGAAGAAAAATAACACCTGGATATTACAAGAATTACCACAAAATCGTAAGAGTATACCATGCAAATGGGTTTTCAAAATCAAGTATAAACCAGATAGTTCTATATACAGATATAAGGCTAGATTAGTAGCTAAGGGCTACTCACAAACAGCTGGGTTGGATTATACTGAAACATTTTCCCCAGTTGTTAGGTATGATTCAATTCGAACACTCTTTGCAATAGCATCTATGAAGAAGATGAACATCAGCCAGTTCGATGTGAAAACCGCCTTCCTGTATGGAGATTTGCATGAAGAAATATTTATGGACATACCAGAAGGCTTAATAACAGAAAATTCCAATTTGGTGTGTAAGTTACAAAAGAGTTTATATGGTTTGAAACAATCGCCCCGTAACTGGAATGAAACATTTGTTGGATTCTTGAAAACTTTCAAGTTCCATCAACTTGAATCAGACAGATGTGTTTTCTGTGCAGAATTTCAGTCAGAAGAAGTTTATTTGGCATTATATGTCGATGACGGTCTCTTATTCTGCAGATCTACAAGTTTAATCGACAGAATATTGCAAGAGCTTGGATCCAGATTTGAAATAACAATTTGCAAACCAGAAGTTTTCATTGGAATAGAAATTTCGAGAACTAGTGATGGTCAAATTTTCATTAATCAACCGAATTACGTCATGAAAATTCTGAAGAAGTTCAACATGCAAGATTGCAAATCGTGTGCAGTACCTGCAGATCCAAATAACAGCTTGCAACTTGATATGTGTCCTAAAAATGATGAAGAAAAATCAAGAATGAGAGAAATTCCTTATCGAGAAGTCGTAGGTAGTTTAATGTTCCTCGCAATTGTGTCACGTCCAGACATAATGTTTGCAGTTAGTCAAGTCAGTAAATTTTTGGCTAATCCTGGTATTGCTCATTGGACGGCTGTGAAACGCATATTGCGATATCTACAAGGGACAAAGAACTTAGGCATCATGTACTCTGGAGAAGAAACGAAACTGACAGCTTTTTCCGATGCAGATTTCGCTGGGGATTTGGATACACGACGCTCAACAAGTGGCTACATTAGCACACTGGCGGGTGGTCCTATCACTTGGGCTTCTCGTCAACAAAGATGTGTGTCACGGTCTACAACTGAATCAGAGTATGTAGCTGCTTCTGAAGCAGCTCAAGAAGTTGTTTGGCTGAGACAGTTTCTAATTTAATTGAATATTCCTATGGATCATCCTACAATATTGATGGTTGATAATCAGAGCACAATACGTTTGGTGAGGAATGCTGATCAACATCATCGACGTACCAAGCATATAGATGTGAAGTATCACTACATCAGAGAATTGGTCGAAAATGGTTCATTGATGATTTCATACATCCCCTCAGAAGAACAATCTGCAGATATATTCACGAAAGCAGTTCCAAAAGAAACATTCCTGAGAATTTTGGAAATCATAGGTGTTCAATTCCCATCAGTCATAAAGAGTGGGAGTGTTGAATGAAATGAGGCTTTATCTCTCAGATGTGAATTATATTATTATATGACCCTGTATGTTATGGTTGAGTATCTATGGAAGTTTAGTTGTTATAAAAATATTATCTTGAAAAGTTCTTCTGAATTTTCTTCTCTGGATTACTTAATATCACAAAATACATTACCACCCTGTACCTCAGAGACGAAGCAATTCAGACTTAGGCAAGCTGTTTCGAATCGGCATACTCAGATTTCACGAAAAATTTTTGCCAAGGTTTGGTACAGACTTTTCAGGGACACCCTGTATTACGTATCTTGTTGGAAGCCAAAATGTTAGATGTAGTGTCTGCAGCTGTTGCGAGACTCGTTTTCTGGATAATGTTTCAAGAAAATGACGTACGTCATTTGTCAGTGTCATTTGTCGTCAGCCGTCAATGTCAAGACTTGGTGCCCCAGCCTTCAGCTGTCAATATTGTTTTTTTAGGATCATGAAGATATTACTAAGAATCCTTTGAATCCTAGGAATTTCGATCCCTAAAATAAAATTGTTCATTCAACATTCATCAATAAAAATTCTGCATCTTATAAATATGCTGCCAAATTCTCTTAAGGAATAATATAAAATATACCTGTAGCAGTAGCGTTTGATTAAACTACGATTGCAGAACACAAACTACCAGCTACTAGGAGAGGATTTGAAGTAATCCATAATGGCAGATTTCATCGAATCTGAAGCTGAAGAAAGCAGTGAAGTAATTAATCAACAGTTATATCGAAAATACATGTTTATGATATTATATTTGAATATCTTGTATGGGAAAAACTCAACCCATGAATCTGATGTCTTTTTCCTTTCTAGGAGGAAGACTTGGAACCTCGAGAGCGCAAGAAAGCAAAAAAAGTCAAAGCTGTTGATAGTTCAGAGGAGGAAGAGGAAGGTGAGACTATGATGATTTTAAAATTATTAACAACAGAATTATTTACACCATATGTAACATGTATGTTTTGAATACTATCCAGACTATCCCTTTTGAAAGAGCTCAGTAATAATTGATTGCACAGGTTAATCTTCTAGATCACATGAGAGGAAAACCCTATTATGTTAGGAAAATTTGCAGAACTGGGGGGGATAGACAGAGAGAAAGAAAGTAGTAGTAAAGAATTCATAAGCTTTTTCCACCTGGCAACTTCAATGTTTGCCACTGAAGATATCTACCTAGAGTCTCTAATAATGAAATTTGCAAAGTGTACATGCATAGTGAGTTATTTCAAAAATTATCTCTCTTATATTTAATTCATTACCATAACAGTAAATCATTTGATCATTATCTAGCCATGTGGCCCAGGTTTCAACTTGGGATTTTGATTTGATTTTTTCAACCAGGTTTTCACTTTCTAAGTATATTTTGTTCTGTTTTATTCTCACATAAGTATAAAATATTGTAGACTGGGTATTTTTGCAATTCAAATCAAAAATTGATTTATCTCAGGAAGATAGGGAATGCATAGTTTTACAAATTTTCATATAGCCCCTCTGGGGAGCACTTTACTCATGTGTTTTTTCATAAAATCTTGTGGACTGGGTATTTTTGCAGATCAAATTATCTGGATTTCAAAAACATTCCATCCTGTATTTTCATGAGTAATGACATGATTTGTCTTGCAAAAATACCCAGTCTACAAGATTTTATAAAAAAACACACCAGTAAAGTGCTTCCCAGAGAGGTTAGGAAAACATTCTAAAAACTTTTCCTCCTGTATTTTCATGAGATAAATTTATTTTTGAGAAAATTTTGATGATTTGACATACAAAAATTTCCAGTCTATGAGATATTATGAAAAATCACAAGAGTAAAGTGCTCTTCAGGGAGATAGAGAAAAAAAATTCAAAAATTTTCATCATGTATTTTCATGAGATGAATCGATTTTTGAGAAGTTTGACTTGCAAAGATTCCCAGTCCCTAAGATTTCATAAAAAATCAAAGTAGAGGGCTTCCAAGGAGGCTAGAAAAAAAATTAAAAACTCCATCCTGTATTTTGACGAGATGAATCGATTTTTGGAAAAATTGAGATAATTTGACATGCAAAAATAACCAGTCAGCAAGATTTTATGAAAAAACACAGGAGTAAAGTGCTCCCCAGGGGGTCTTGAGAAAAATTTTAAATAGTTTTCATCCTGTATTTTCATGAGATACAACGATTTTTTAGAAAATTGAGATGATTTGACTTGCAAAAATACCTAGTCCACAAGATCTTATGAAAAAACAGGAGTAAAGTGCTCCCCAGGAGGCTATGAAAAAACAAGAGTAAAGTGCTCCCCAGGAGGGCTAGAGCAAAATTTTGAAAACATCCTAGTGTCAATCAATCAATCAATCAAAAATATGCTTTATTGTCGAAGACATAAATCTTATTGACAAAGCTTGTACTACAAATATTAAAAATATAGATATTTTACAATTGTTTGTTAGATTCTAATAAAAGAAAGAAACATACATTTAAATATTCAACATAGAACATGAAATTAACAATAAGCATGTAGTTAAAAAGAATTAATAAATATTTATAGAAACACACAAACAATCAAAAATACTATCTGCGTTACCACAAAGATAACACAGGGTAATTATAAAGTAAAAAATAAATATAATTGAATATCACATTGTCAAGATTAAAAATAAAAACATTAATTATTTAAAAATAATTACATTATTTGGTTAAAAATAACTCGTCAATTAATCAAAATATCACATAAAAATGTATGTATGGTTGAATAATATATATTAAAAAATATTAAAATGTTAACTAATTCAACCACTTATGTTTTTATTGAGGAAATCTTGAACTTCGTAAAATACTTCATCCATAAGAATGAGTTTAACCGATTTCCTGAATAAATGGAGGGATTCAATGGTTTTGATGCTGGCAGGAAGATGGTTATATAGTTTTGCAGCATTATAAATAATGGAGTTTTTGATCAAATTGGAAGCTGGAATGGGTAGCCTTAGGTTGTTATTTTGGCGGGTAGAACCAGAAATGGTATCATATGTTGATTTATTTTTATGTGCTAAGCATACCGATTCGAGAATGAAAAGAGATGGAATGGTGAGGAGTTTTTGCTTTCTGAAAAGTTCTTTACATGATACTCGAGGTCCAACCCCGCAGATATAGCGTACTGCACGTTTCTGGAGAGTGAATATTATGTTGAAGCACTGTTTGTTGCAGGTACCCCAAAAGGGGATACCATACCTGACATGAGACTCAAATAAGGCATGGTAAACTACTTTTGCAGTTGTTTCACCCAATTCTCTTGAGATAACACGTAGAGCATAGCACCCTTTGGACAGCTTTTTACTAAGATGACGAACATGATCTTCAAATTTGAGTTTACAGTCTAAGTGAATCCCTAAAAAGGTGTTGAAATTATTAGATGAAATAATATCATTCCCCAGGGAAATATCCGGTATATCGCATTGAAATGATAAGAGATTCGTTTTGTTAGTGTTGAATGAAAGCTGATTCGAGTTACACCACTCTCTCACAGCGTTAATATCCCTAGACATTTTACTAAAAAGTTTGTTAGGGTTTTGATCATGCCACAGGACCGTTGTGTCGTCTGCGAAAATAGTGAATACACCTTCAGTCTTAATATTCGCAAGGTCATTAAAATATAACAAGAACAGGATAGGTCCAAGCACAGAGCCCTGAGGTACACCATGTTTAATAAAACCTATATTGGAAAAACTGTTGGACTTTACAACTTGTGTTCTTTGGCTTAAGTAAGACTCGAACCAGTAATGGCTTTGGCCTCTGATCCCGTAATGGTGGAGCTTACGAAGCAATATTTCATGATTCACACAGTCAAATGCTTTTGACAAATCACAAAATATTGCGGCGCTTGCTTCTTTCGAATTTAGATTTGAGTATACATTTTTTAGAAAATCAAAAATTGCATCTCCAGTACTTTTGTTAGGTTGGAAACCGAATTGTTGAGGATGTAGAATTTTTTGGTGAGCCAAGAAGTCCATCAATCAAGTTTTAACCAATTTTTCGATAATTTTTCCCAGGGTTGGTATTAAAGAGATAGGTCGAAAATTTGATGGCTCGGAGAGGTCACCACCCTTATACAGGGGGATCACTATACTGGTTTTTAGGAAGTCGGGGAAAGTTCCTCTGGTAAAAGAATCATTAATAAGGTGGACCAGCAGTTCGAGAACGAAGATTGGCAAATTTTGGAAGATTTTTATTGAAATATTGTCAATGCCACTGGAAGTTTTGTTTTTTATATGATTTATTGTATCCATCAGTTCCTTAAGATTTGTCTCGTGTAATACAAATGTTTCGGGAGTGTAAAATTTATTCAGATAAAACAGTGGATCTGCAGCAGCTTCAATATTTTCAGAGAGTCTGTCGGATATAGAGCAATAGTATTCATTGAGTGTATTGGAATCCGGTGTTGTATTTGATTTTATGTTATTTTTTCCTCTAAACTCATTCACAACCCGCCAGGTTTCTTTAATAGTATTATTACTGTTTGATATTCTGTTGTGGAAGTAATTCTTTTTGGCGGTTCTAATAACACCTCTGTAAATTTGTTTATATTTTATGTAATAGTTATGGAACTCAATATCATTAGTGAATTTTTTGATATAATGAAGGTGTATTTTCAAGAGATAAATCGATTTGTCAAAAAAAAGATTATTTGCCTCCTAGTGTACTTTCAAAGGATAAATCGATTTGTCAAAAAAAAAAGATTATTTGACTTGCAAAATATTCAGTCCCCTAAATCTTATAAAAAAACACAGGAGTAAAGTGCTCCTCAGGGGGGCTATGGAAAAATTTCATAAAGTTTTCATCACATATTTTCATGAGATACATCGATTTTTAAAGTGCTCCCCAAGGGGGCGTCTGAAAATTTTCAAAAACTGCATTGGGCATTCTCATGAGTAGAATCGATTTTGAGAAGATTAAGATGATTTGACTCGCACAATACCCAGTCCGCAAGATTTTATGAAAAAACACACTAGTAAAGTGCTCCCCAGAGGGGGGGGGGGCAGTGAAAAAAGTGAAAACTTCCTTATCCTGTATTTCCATGAGCTGACCAGGTATGCAATAAAAATATTGATTTGTTTGCTGGAAATACCCAGTCTGCAGCATTTCATTCCAGTCCACAGTCTTATTTTTTCCAGTCTGCAAATTATTCACGCAAATATACAGGCTGAATATGAAAGTGACGTTTTTTATTTAATAGGGTATTTATATAAAAAGAAGTGTTTGATTAGTGTTTCTGATGACATGATGCAACTGTAGGGTATCTAATGCTGGACTGATAATGGCTTTTTTGCGTTTTTTTTTCTTGAGAAAATGTAAACAAAATGTTTTATAGTTGGAGTATTCTTTAAACCATTGAGTACCTGTACCTACCTCCGTTATATTAAATATTTTATGTGAGCAATGTTCTGCCAAACAACTTATTTTGGTGAGATATACAGGGTGTTTCAAAAAAACCTGAACCCCCTTGCTAGGGTAGGTAGAACGCTGCAAAATAAATTGGGTTTGCTCAGTGAAAAAAATGTCGTAACGGCATTCGTTTTCGTGATACAAGGTGTTGAAAACATGATTTTTTTTCACACATTTTTCACGATTATGTTGAAACTACTGGCAACATTGTAATAAAATTTTGTATGGATGTGTCTTGAAATCTGACACATCCCATGATTTAAATCAAGTGATTTTTTTTAAATCACAATTCAAATCAAAATAATAATTTCGAGAACATTTATTATTTATTTGAATAATAAAAAATATTAAACTGAAATAAAATAGTAAAACCCCTAAAAAAACTGTATATTGAAACATATACATATACAGGCTACAGGAATTTTCTTGTACAGACATGTCGGTCGACCCACATCGTCCTACTGAGAATGGCTTTCTTTGT